CTCATATCTTCCCGGTCGGCCAAGGGAGGATCGTGCATCTGAGGCTACTTGGACGCAGTCAGTAGGTCGGTCACCTGCAAGCTGCAGCGTGGTGTCAGCGATCTACAGCATGCAGCATTCTTTTTGTCACCAGAAGAGCTCCGAGGGCTTCCATAGGCCCACCGCGTTGAGGTTCTCCAGCCTCTTGAAATGGAGGGTTGGCGATGGGTGGAAACTCTACTCGGAAAGCAGCAGCTTTGGTCGGGTTACCATTGCGCTTCCCCTCCATCGAGTTGCATTTGATGAGAAAATGCGGAGCCCTCTTACCATCCGGGGCACACCGATGGTGAGGAGGGGTTCGAGAATATCCTTTCGACCGTCCATCCTGACATGTGAATCGCGAATAAAAGCAGGTCATCGACATTCGGTACGTCAGAGACTATGTCCGTGCATGCCTTATCGTGCTTGTGAATCATCCGGCATGTTGCCTGGAGGCTTGATGAGAATGTTCCGATCCCAACCAAAACGCACTGCTCCCTTCATAGACTTGGTTTGCATGAGCGAATGACCTGGCCGAACCGAATTCTCCCTTCAGCACGTAGGCCGCTATGACCAATTTTGGATATTACCATCGGGGATGGCTGCAAGTAAAAAGATGACGTTTCCGAAAAGGGAGAGAGAGGGACCAAATCCAATGACATCATGCGGCAGGCACCTAAGCCACAGCCCACCTTCCGATCTCAAATACTAGTTGCCAAGAGAGACCACTCAGTTTAGGGCTCCCGTGGTCGAAGTAATTGGCCCTCCCCACGTGGCGCGGTGACGGCGGTCTTGTTGAAGCCTCAGGCATATGTTTAATACACGTGACTTGACTCGCCCGGGTGCGGAGAAACCGGGACTCCGCTCATCACTGGCGCGCTCCCGGAAGGGCAAACGCCCAAGGGCATCCTCATCCCGTACATTCTGTTTTTGGCTGTCGTTCCCCACTCTGAACAGCTGCTGTCGCGATGGCGAGGAAGCTTAGAGCGGCTGCACAGGCAGCACAACAGTCGCTGAGTATGTTTATCTCACTTCCCTTGGTCTTTTTGTCCCGTGCCCCAATCCTACAAAAATCGCACTCACGGGCGCGTCCACTGACAGCTCCACAGGGAATGCTCCTCCTCCGCTCCCCGATGCCTCCGATGAGGAAATGGCTGAAGCGCCTCCGTCGCGTGGGTCTTCACCCGCTATAGAAGACCCAGGCGATGCGTCCGACAAGGATCCCGATGTTGTCCCCGAACCCGACCCGCCACAGGAAGACGAGCCTGCCGCCGTCACCAATCCTCCATCGCGCGGCGACACTCCAACCCGTGGCCGTGTGTCCGCCATTCCGCGAAAACGACGTATCGGCCGTCCCCCGAAGAACCGCCCCCCAGACTGGGATCTGCCTGACGATGGTACGGCGCCGCCGCCGATTCATGTAAGCACGCCTGTGAAGAGGAGACGTGGGCGTCCTGCAGCTAGTGGCGGACGATGGGCTCGGAATCGGGGACCGTCACATGTAACCCAGGTGCCGATTGATAAGGAAGGGAATATGATGGACGTCATTGATGATGAAGTGGCCCTGCCCGATGACCCTGAGGGCGAGACTAAAGTCGACAAGAACGGCGTTCTGAAGGGCGACCGAGAGTATCGAGTTCGTACGTTCACGATCCTTAATCGTGGTGAGAAGCATTACATGTTGTCGACAGAGCCAGCTCGATGTATCGGGTTTAGAGACTCCTACCTGTTCTTTCAGAAACACAAGCTTCTTTACAAGATTATCATTGATGACGACGCTAAGCGTGATCTCATTGAAAGAGAGATCATACCTCATTCGTACAAGGGTCGAGCCATTGGTGTGGTAACCGCTCGGTCCGTGTTTAGGGAATTTGGCGCCAAAATCATCGTTGGTGGCAGGAAGGTCATTGATGACTACAACGTCAAGGCAGCCAGGGAACGGGGTGATGTCGAGGGTGAACTCGCAGTACCGGAGGATAAGCTTCCCCCTCCGGGAGAGCCATATAACAAGAATCAGTATGTGGCGTGGCACGGAGCTAGTAGCGTCTATCACACACAGGCACCATCGGTTCCTCTGCCTACTGGCAAGGCCGTCGATTCTAAGAAGCGGAAAGTGACTGTCACCGGTGATAACTGGATGCTGGAACATGCCCGAGAAGCCAGGTAAGCGCCACCGCTTCGTTGACCTACCAGCATGCTAATCATCCCATAGCCATTACAATTCACTCCTTTCGAACGTACGTCGCGAAAACCTTGGGGGTGTATACGATATCCATACGAATGCTATGCAGTACCCCAAAATCATGCAACCCTCACACGCTCGTTGGGAGCGTCTACCACCTCCGGATCCTCGAGTAGCGACCAAATTGACCAAGGAGATGTCGACATTGAGTCTCACCAATGGAGTTGAAGAGGAGGAACCAACTACTGAAAGTGACGCGCAAGAGGAGAAGACCAACGAGGAAACGAGCCACGACTCTATCTTCTCAACGGTTCCCTACGCCTTTTCTCGTCGTTTCGCCATCCACGATGTTCATTACGAAACCCCACCATATTCCAATATGGGCATTCCTGGGCCTGACGGCGACGTGCATGATCTCGGCTCAAACGGTATCATCAGCACTGCCAACCTATCATATCCCGAATTTGTGAGTCCCGAGATCCTGGCAGAGCTACCCGCGGACTGCAAGGAGGCTCTTGTCGAGGCCGCTGCGCGCGAGTGGGAATGGAAGTCCAAATGGCACAGTGAGGTGGGTGACGGCGCTCGCACAACTCCGCTCAAGAGTTATGCCTGGTTTCCTTGACCTGGTCGTGTTCTTGCTGTTTAATTTCTTTCTATGTACGACACATTGTGCTTGGTTTTGGGCCGGTTTTTTATGGGTGGCATGAGAAAATGGGAGTTCTTCTGCGTTTGCTTCGGCGGTATATTATGTTCCAATGTTTCTTCATTTAATGTCTCTTCCCCGATACCTTAGAGAGACAGCGGCAGGCAGGTTTGCCGTTATGGATGTCATGTCGATGACAGATTAGACAATTCAATCGATATTTCTTAGTGGCAGGGCCCGAAACATGTCTGACCTAGATTGACAACTGCCGCGGTGCATTTTAGTCCAAGGATTATACTAGGGTTAGTCCAGGCTGCCCGTTCTAGGAAACTGGTGGTAGATCATTGAATCATAGACTAGACCACAAAGTAAGGTATCTAGTAAAATAGACGCTAAGTTGAATGCTCTCATTGCTGATTAATCTTTTACGAATGGGAGTACTTTACTCGTATTTCTCACTGGGGGTTGTGTAAGTGATGGGTTGCAAATTTATATCTATCTTCGTTCTTCAGAGTACTCTACGCTGTCAAAAATCATGTACCTCTCTTGGTATTTAGAGTATTGATCATGATGAACTTCGTAATTCAATTAACCGACGCTTAATGATTATATGGAATAGAATGGGCTAGCAAAGTGAGAAAAGAAGACAACTTGGGAAAGAAAGAGCAAAATAAAGGACGCGGTTTATCCCATGGCCATCTCTGCACGCAGCTTCTCCAGTTCTGCTTCCTCGTCTTCTTCCTCTTGTACCTTTGCTTTGCCTTTGGCTGTAATTCAAGACCAGGTTAGATGCTTTTCTGCGTAATATATTCATTTCAGGTAGAGAGGACTTACGTTCGCCGTTCGCCGCGGCCGGTAGCTGATTGAGTTGATCTGCAACCGGTACTCTCCCTGTGTGAAGCATCCGCTCGTCCATCGTCTCCTGTTCCAGCTCTTCGAGCTCGGCCTCCAACTCGGTCTCGTCTGCCTGTTCGCCAATCTGGGTGTTTGTGATAGCCTGTGCGATTTCCTCGCTGAGTTGGTGTTGCTCGCGGAGTTGGTCCCTGTGTCCCCGTCAGCGGCGTGGGTCCCCCAAAGAGCAATAGGGGAGTATATCCAATAGTAAAACACGCACATTGTCTCATCAACCTTATCAATAGTCAAGTTACCATGGATCTGCGTCATCGCCGCGCCGGCCTGCTTCATCGCGTTCAGAGTCTCCTGGTTGATATTCGCCGCTTCGATCGAATATATCTGTTGTTCTAGCTGGATGATCTGTGCCGTCGTCTGTTCGAGGTTCTTCTCGTGCACCTTCTTACGTCGCAGGGCAGATTTGGCCGCTTGACGATATCAGCCTCGTTGACTCCGGTAACGGGGAAACAGAATACAGCGATAAGGAAAAAAAGGAACCCCCATACCGTTCTTATTTGTCGTCACGTTCTTCCTGGCCACGGCATCCTGCTCCTCCATCAGGTTCTCCAGATGCTTCTCGCGCTTCTGCAGCATATCCAGCTGCTCCCGGAGCTTGAGGATCGCATCCTTAGGCGCATCCTTCCGCTTCTGGGCTGCCGAGCCGCCAAACCATGACCACATCTTGATAAGCGGTTTTTGGGTTTACGTTGTGTTTTTCTCCCAGTTCCAATTCCTGAAATGTATAAGTATAGTTAGGGTATTCACTATCCAAGTGCGTATGGCCCTCGACGCTCGGGACTAGAAATCGGTAGAAAGTGGTGGAGTCAGACAGGCAAGATAATAGGCAGAGAGAGAGAGGGGGGCGGCGGTGGTCGAGTCCGGGTGGTGTCGTAGGCTGTCGCGAAATGCAATATCGGGGACAATCGATCTCCGACGAAACAATGAATAGGTCTAGAGGGGTTGTTGCTCAGCGCGGAACAGATCAAGGCAACAACAAATATTAGACAACGATTAGGAATTCACGATGGCGGATGAGATCCGTTTTCACCCTCCGTTGGCCCTATGACATACGCGCTAAGCCTATCGGAGACGGCAGGTCACGTGGGGATAGTCGATTCGTGGATTCTGTTTTGGGTTTAGTCTTATCTTTGGGGCCGACGGAGTACATCTTCTGCCCTCTGGACTTTGGACTACTGTTCTCCAGGTTGCGACGAACTTTTGATTCGGGGATTATGTCTGTTACGCTCATATGAGTTGAGGGATGAATGGCCCTCCTCCTTCCACGAGAGTTTTTCTCTCTAGTGTTCCTTCTCTTCCTGCTGGTTTGAAGGTTCGGTTTCTTGGTTGGTGCGTAGATTGCCAATGCTGGGATATCTAGCCCAGACCGTACATGCATGATATAAAAGCTAACCACGCGACTAACGATAGCGTAAAGACTTATAATGTCGCCACGGGCCACCTCATCTTAGAACATAATTACCCCCGCTGTAAACCAACCCAGGAACCGCCCTGCATCCCCGTCGACGTCAATGCCGTTCTGCAAACGGTGACGGCGGACGAGCTGCGGGTTGGGGCGTGGGTGAACGTGCTCGGGTACGTGAGAAGAGAAGAGTCCTCGGTCTACGTGGAGGCAGTCATGGTATTCCGAGCCGGCGCAATTGCGGTGGGAGAGTACGAGAGGATCCTGCATCATTCGTTGGAAGTGTATCGAAGGGTGCGGCGACCTGGATGATATCTATCTTCTTCCAATCGACAGGAATATGCAAGTCACATTTTCACTCTTTATCTAAATTGAACACACTATTCATTATGATTATCTTGAACACATGGCTTCGTTGCCATACATGCGATGTTGTATATGCGCTTTGAAATCGAACCGAACGCCAAACGGGGGAATAACCCGAACTTTTGGGAAATTACCGTTGAATGCAGAATATGCTGTTTGCTTTTTGTGTCACTCTTCATGATTTCTCGCAGTGCAGATGCTGATGCAGTTTAAACCTCCGTCTTCTCCTTCTCGGTTGCCTCTGCGTTCGCTTTCGCCTCTAGTCGTTGTTGGAGACGCATTCGCTTCCCCTCCAATCTCTTCTTGTCCTCCTGCATCTGCACAATCAAGGCACTCTTCCGCCGGATCTTGTATCCATACTTGTAGAACACAATCGGAATCGGAATAATAGCAACCTCAAGCAGCCCAAGCAACGTTCCAGACCAATTAGGTCCAATCCCAGCATAGAGATACGTACCCACCAAGGGCAAAACGCCGCCCAGGATACTACGAATAACGGAATTGCCCGCCATGGCGGATGCAGCGTACACTCCATAACTATACGACAGATAATTCGACGCATAGATGAAGACGCCAGTGTTCCCAGCGCCGAATGGAACTCCCGCGAGGATGGGCACGATCCAGTGGATGGATGCCGGGGCGCACGTCCATGCGAACCAGAGCTCGCCGGCGGGGATTAAGATGGCGGAAATGCAAACGATCGAGACCATGGCTTCTGGGGGCACGTTCCCCGTCTCGGGGTCAATTGCGTGGTTGTTGATCATGCGGCGGATTAGGGGTTCGCAGGCGATGGTTATGAGGCTGCCGATGCCGATGCCCAGGAAGGCGAGGCCTGAGAGTCCGAGGGACCAGCCGCGAATGTCACGGAAGACGATGGGATAGGCGGTGAAGCAGAGGTACAGGATGCCGTAGACGATTGCGATGTAGATGTTCCAGAAGATGCTGGTATGGGTTGTTAGTTCCGTGGGCCGGCGAGATGTGACGGAAATCTTACCAGATAGGCTCGGTGACAGCCATGACGAAAGGCCGTCCCAGATTCACTTTCAGGATCTCGCCTAGACTAGCCTTTTGGTCGTATCGGCTCCAGTAGGGGTCACCGGTCTCTTTACGCATGCATGCAGCTTTCTTCTGGAGTATCATGGGCCCGTATGTCTCTTTCATTATCAATGAAAGTACTAGAGCGACGCCGGATAGTATCAGCGCGATCCAGTCCATCCAACGCCAGCCGAGATACTGCGTGACAAAGCCTCCAATAATGGGCCCCAAGACTGAGAAGTTATTAGTTATGAGCCATATTGCATCGGATGGCATATGGATACGAACCTGGGCCATTTACGGGGCCGATACTCCAAATCGACATGGCGAGGGCTCGCTCTTCATCATTAACTAGATCTGACACCATTCCTGGCGCAGTTGAGATCATGACACTGCCAAAGAAAGCCCCAATGAATCGTACAACTATGAGAGTTGCTACAGACTCTGCGCGTGCACAAGGTATGATCAAGACCATGAAAACAAACAAGCAACCCACAGATACGGGCTTTCGACCGTACACCTCACTCAAGGGTGCCATAAACATAGAGCCAACAGCAAGGCCGATAAGGTATAGAGTAAGGCCTAATGTAACAATGGTGTTTGAAGTCCCAAACTCGGCCGCGATGTCTGCGATGCCAGAGGTATATGACGTGGAGTACAAGACACTGATTACCGTTAGGCACGTTTCCTTCTCATAATCCAAAAATGGAATTTGGTGGAAGGACTTACACGACCAGAGTGTTCCAGGACAGAAACGCAATCGCCATCCCTTTGTACCTGAGCGACCAGTTCTTGGGGTTCATCTGGTCATTTTCAGCCTCAAAGTCGACTTCATACCTCGGGTCCGACGTTGCGTTAGTACCGATAGTGGTGGTCTTTCTGGCCAAAGACATCGACTGTCGCGAAGCTTGTGTGACAATTTGTTGCAGTTCTTCGGTATCCTCCGTCGACGTAGACCCGGCAAGAGAATTGGTATCTGCCGGCGAAGCATCCTCCTGGGTATTTTGGGGCCATTTCTCGCAATCGGAAGGGTGATGCTTGGAGGAAGACATCCTGCCTGAGAATGTCCGTGACAGAACGTTGAACTCTTTGGAGCCCTACCCAATGAGTCACACAGGGCAGATTCCTGATCTATATGGTTTTCCACTGGAAAAATTGAGACGTAGGGTATTATGCGGGGATCTCGATCAGACACATTAAACTCTTACAGATAGACAAGAACATGGATTAAAGATTAAGAAAAAAAGAAAAAAAAAAAAAAAAAATTATTTGCCCTTGTACAAGCTTGGGAGCTATGACTGCTCTGCGTAGCTGATTTTAAGTAGAGCAAATAGTTTCACCTGGATGAATGGCTGTCTAAGGACAGCCTGTAACGAAGTAATAGAAGTTAAACACAACACACTTTCAAGAAAATAGGACCAAAAATGTCTAGACAGGGAAGGATTCACAGTTTTATTTTTCACTGTAATGATTAGCGCCTTTGATCCTTAATAATTATCTGGGTAGATGTGGGGCTTAGAGGCAAGTGCAGTTACTTGGTATATATGGAGATAAGGCGCCGATACATTTCTTTAGGGCACGGGGAAATGTGATCTATGCTAAATGTAGTACGACATACCAAGATATCGTACTTAAAGAAAGAACTCACAGTGCCAGACGCCAAGAAGATTCGCCATCATGTTAACGTTGTCTGCCGGATATTTCATTCTATTGCCGGCCAGAGTCCGAGGTCGAGCAATCGCCTCCACATGTCCTATACTGCGTACACAGGCCTTTGGAGAAACGACCGATCTCTTACCGCTACAGATCGACCTATCTAAGCAGACCTATGCATCGTTCGTCTTCAAAACTTGGTAGGTGCTGGCAACCTAGGCTGACGCGGTATCATGTGTTGTGGAACAAATCCCGGGCCCCCATCAAGGAGCATTATTTCCGAGGTCATTCCGAGCATGGCAGTTTAGCGCCGTTAACGATCTAATCATGAGGGTTTCCAGTTAATTGCAGGTTCTATGTCTGGTCTGGTTCACTGAACCCTTTAGTTGAGGTTCTTCAACGCTCCGCTTAAGCTCATTTACCCCATATCCCCATACTCCAGACGGGGGAGGAGTCCAGAGTCCATACAGCCCTAGTCGGTGGATAGTGAATGAATGGATCAATCAATCAGTGAAGAAGAAATGGCGAGTCCCTCGTCACTAACCTGCCAAGGTTGGGTCGACTCCACCAGACGTTAGCCGAAGAATGACTCATCATTAGAGGTCTTTCGCATCAAACACCAAAACACCCGTTGTCATGACGAGTTCTTGCCCAGTGAGCTTGAGGTGTCAGTTCCGGTTTCCCGCTCGTGCCGGTTTGCCGATCACAGGGACAAAGTCAAGAGGTGAAACGCCACTAAAAGGGAAAGGAATGCAGGCGATCGTGGTCAAAGTGAAAGGTCTGGATCCATTGGGTATCCATGCGGGAAATTGGGGCTTTCGGCTATTAGTTCCGGAGACACGAGGATAAGTACCGAGTACTAAACTCTATAGAGGTAATTGACAGGTACAATACTGCTGTCAGTACTGAGTATAGAGTATCGAGAGCAGGTAACGCTCTAAATATAATCTTCAGAGCAGCGCCTTGCCCTGGAGGCTGATGGCTATCGAACTCAAGTGCCCTGAGAAACGATAAAGTGCCCCGTCGAGGTGCACAGACTACGGTGGACAAGTAACGTCTGGAGAGGTATGAGGCGCCTCGGTAAGCGAGGGTATTCAATATCTCTGACTCCCTAGAATGTATCGTATCTAGTACTTAGGGTTCTGAGACTTCCTTGCCTTCTGGCAGCAGAAGTTTAAATAAGCTATGTCCTTTTAATTTACTGATCACGTCGGCAGCATCACGTGGGGAACCCTCCTTAAAGCGGCAATGGCTGAGTTAAAGCGGACTTGGAGTGCAGAAAATAAATCTCTCATAGTTCTGAAACACCATAGATAGGCAACGATACTGAAGATGTTAGGGACGATCCATGTTATGATATTAGTGATTGTATATGCATGTTAACTGGAATATCCAATGAGACCCCTGTCTTTACGCAAATCGTCTGGTTGTTCTGCCGGCAGGAAACTTGATCCACTTAGTCCATCTAAAGGATGAACTTACGAGCTTCAAAGGCCTGCGATCACTGTCGTGCATCTAAGAAGCGATGTTGTCCACCATTGCCATGTCAGAACTGTGTGTCCGCTGGGGTACGATGTGTAGTTCGAGAGAAGGCAAGGTACGGTATTTCTAGATATGGTTTCTTCCCCCACCCTTATCTCAAACCCCCTGCATATATTTTCGTACTCTATTTCTTCATTTTGTACATCTCTAATCCAGCACATAGGCCATTACGACGACGTAAGCCCCGGGCGACGGACGAAGTCCTGCCCAACAGCTATACAGAGCCACGAGCCGTGAAGTCAAGTAGTAGCAGAGAGCTTACACCAATCTCAAAGACTGACCCTGCAGACTATGTCAAAGGATTAGTTTTTAACTACATCTACTCAACATATGGTGAGTCTTCATCTTGCCACGTCAGAGGTCCATGATTAAACAGCCGCGTAGATGTCGCCCTGAAATGCACGCTTGAAGAGCCGACAGCACTCCCAGATGATAGCCAGCAAGGTGTGGGCTTCAGTTCCTTGGAATCCGTCTGCGTCGATGCCTCAACCATACGTCAGCTCCTCTCAGCATCAGCAGCGGAGTTTGTCGCGCGACTCTCACCCGTGGAAGTATCATACATAGACAAACTGGCCAGTGATATACTATCCCACATTCCTTGCCACAAGAGCTACATGCCGATTCAAGACCTCATCAACCTGAACATACCCCCCGATCGACTTGGTCTTCTTCTCTCCGCATTAGCACTGTGTTGCACATATCCCAAACAGATCAATAGCAATGCTTCCGCATATTTCTTGGGCTCTCGATACCTGTTCAATTATCGTTCCGTGAAACCTTCACTGGACCTTTGCATCGCATACTATTTGCAACATCTCTATCTCCTGAAAACAGGACCAGATAACCAGGACACAACCGCCCTTACCATGGCCATCCGCACAGCTCATGATCTCAAGATTAACGAAAGGGGGTCCCCCAATCGTTGCACACTACCTGCGAAATTGTACCTGTTTTTGTATTTCTACGACCAGTGAGCACCCTTCCACCCCGTCCGTATCTACATACCCAACCCGAAGGCAATCCACCACTCACCAACACCAGATGCTGCGCCATGAGCAACAACACCCCCCCTCTCATCAAAACCACCGACTACAAAGCCAACGTCTTCGACCACGTCCTGGAAGAAGAGCCCGATTTGCGGCCCCTATTCAATATCCTCGTAGCTAACGGCCAGGTCCTCGAAGCCCTGTACGGAAAACCCTGCGACCACAGCAACATATACCACCTCGAGGAACTCCTCGGCTGCGTTTCCAAATCGGCCCGCAAACCCATGCAACCATTCCTCGGCCTCGGTGGAACCAACATGAACTACGAAGCCCCCGTCCAGATCCACATGTTCTGGTACGTCCATGCAAAACCACCCATCCCTGCCATCAATCACTAACACAAAGAAATGAGATAAACAGGGCCAGAATAACTCTCCGCGTCCACCGCCTCACCCTAACAGAAGACTGGATCCCTTCCATGAGCATCTGCGTCCGCGCCTCCCAGATGATCCTCCTCCTCTACTTCCAAACCTACAACCCCTCCATGGCCCCCGGCGCCGCCACGAATCTGCACAAACTCGGCCTCCCCCTTCTCTCCATGGAGGGCCGCATGCCCCTAACCTGGCGCCAGGTGAAGCGCATCATGGCCTCCGCGTTCATCCTCATCTACGCGTACTGGCACGGCGAGGTCACCTTTGAGGAGGTCTGTCGGGGCACCGCGATGGCGCTGGTGCTGCATGAGTGTCAGCGGGTCAGGTGGGGGCGGGAGCTGGATGGTGCTATGGCGGTTTTGAGGGATATAGCAGGGATTTGTGGGATGACTATCTTGCCGAATATGTCGAGTTTATTGCCGGATGTTGATCTGGAGGTTTTGAGGGTTATTGCTGGGTAAGGTGTAATGGCGGGCTATATAGGTCGCCCCAGGGCATTCTGGATCGTTGATCTAGATTTATTATGATCTTTTCGTTTTGTGGAATATAGTGCCCTCGCTATATCTCTTACACAGGGGATGATGATATAAGTAGATGTTTCTTCGATTGAGTATTCAATTTGATACGCTTTGGTAATGCAAAATATGCAGCTGAAAATACTATTAACAAGAAATGAGCAATAAATCCCGAAACAGCTCAATTGGCCAGAACGATACAGAACCCAGAATTTTGTTCAAAGTGAAATAAAATAACACCACCGCCACAGCTTATCCAGCTAAGAAGAATGAAACCAGATCAAGCAAAAACATCCGTAGTATACCGCTCCTTCGTCTTCATATCATCAAAGAACTTGGCGGCAGCCGTCTCCTCATCATCATCCGAAACGGGCTCGCCCTTCTCCTTCGCAATGCGACGAATCTCCGCCCGTCTCTCGAGGAACATACTCTTGATGGCGTCGCGGACGGCATTCCCCACGCCCGGCGTGCCACAGACGTAGATCCTTGCGCCGCTCTCGAAGAGCTCGATGAGCTCCTTCTTATCTTCCATCATGAGATCCTGCACGTGCGCGCCCTTCGCCCCGTCGCTGGGCCGGCTGTAGGCCCGTCTGACTTCCACGGCCCCGGTCTTCTCCCACTCGGCCAGCTCGTCGGCGTGGATGTCGTCCTTGCCCTGGGTGCGACAGCCGGCGTAGAGGATCGCTTTGGCGGGTTGTTCGGGCATGGAGCCGGAGCTGCGTCGGCCGCGGATTTTCTCGGCGCGGTCCATCACGAAGCCGCGGAAGGGGGCGAGGCCGCTGCCGGCGCAGGCCATGATCATCGGGGTGGTGAGTTCGGTCGGGGGCTTGAAGCCGGTGTGGGAGGGGCGGACGGAGAGCTGCACGCGTTCGCCGGCACGGAGTTCGGAGAGGTAGGTGGACGCGACACCGAGGTATTCGTCTTCTTGGGTGCGGCCGGCCAGGGACGGGGCTTTCAGGACGGAGAAGGTGATGGAGCATTCGGTGGGGTCGACCAAGGGCGAGGAAGAGATGGAGTACTGGCGGACCCGCATGGGAGGGAGCATGGCGACGAAGTCCCCGATCGCGAGGTTGATGGAGGGGTATTGCAGCAGCAGGTCCAGTACGCTGATGCGCTTCTGAGAGATCTCGGCGAATCGGGCTGAATCAGAGGCGATCGCCTGCAGCTCGGCCTGGGTCTTGGGGTCTATGGCGGCGGCGTCGGCCAGGACTACTAGGTCACGTTTCGATGCGGGCTGGGAGAGTTCGACGTAGCTGGCGAACAGGTCGTAGGCGGACACTTGGGTATCCATTGGGATGGAAATGTGTTTCGAGGAGGAGGGAGATGCCTTCTCGATGCGGAGCACGGCGTCCCAAGGAAGGTCGAAACGGCTCATCACTTTGCGGACCACGTTGCTGGGGTTCACTGGGAGAATGGCCAGGTAGTCACCGCACTTGTACTGCGCGTCTGTAGGGAGCTTGAAGCGAATCGTCCGCTTGGAAGGCACGTCGGGCTGCGTGAGGAGTGCGTTCTCCAGGACAAGACCTTCTTGCAGCTGGAGACCGAGGGTGGTTGCTCTGTGACCCGAGCTGACCTCGACGCGGAAGGTGGATGACTTCTGGGAGCCCTGGGTGTTGGAACCACCGAACTTAGCAGCCACTGCTGGCCAGAACGAGGTTTCCCCCCAGGTGTCGAAATCCGTGACGATATCAGCGTTGGCCGTGTCGGCCAGACCCATCTCGCAGAGTCTATTTGCGCCATTCTCGCCAACAAGGCGATTGACCTCCTTGGGAATACGGTAGAAGGTTGACTGCCAATCGTCTAGATTCATACTCTGTTAGAGGGTTTACCGGCAAAAGGAAGAATTGAATGTACTTACGATGTCCACAGCCGAACACAGCATAGTTCACGCCGTCCAAGGGCTTGTCGCCCTTCAAAGCGCTGAGCCACTCGAAGAAATGGGCGGCATTGTCTGGGGGCTGTCCTTCATATGACGCGGTGATGAAAACAACAGGCCCATTCTTGGGGATGCTATCCTTGGCCGTATCCAACGAGTCAACCTCGGCCGAGTAGCCATAGCCAGTGGCATCATCAGCGAGGCGTCTTGCGAACGCCTCACAGGTTCCAGTGTTGCTACCATAGTAGACATGCATAGGCCGCAAATCGGCGGCCTTTTTCGCGGCTGACTTGCTGTGACCAGCAGCTTGTTCGGCGTGATCGGCGCTGCTAGCGCTCAATGATGATCCTAGGTGCACAGCGTCCAAGCCCTCGCGAAGAGCAGCTCTCATATAGAAATTATTGGGCTTGATGGTGAGCGTCTGCTTCAGCTGAATGTTGTATGAGGGGTCATCCATCTGGAAGTTGAAGTTTTGCAACAACATCGCGATGACGAGGAGCGCTTCCTGCCAGGCAAACGGCCGACCGATACATGCTCGCATTCCGTTTCCGAAGGGTTTCCACGCGTGCTTAGGCAGCTTGTTGAAATACTCATCCAGCATGCGCTCTGGCTTGAATTCCTCTGCATCAGGGCCGTACACCTTGGGATCGCGCTGAATCTTGCCCATCAAGAGAGCACATGGCTCATCCTTGCCAAGAACATACTTTCCATTGGCGAGGGTGACGGGGTCTTCGTGGTTCTTGGTCGGGTGAGGGCCGACTGCAATAGCGGGAGCTGTTGGGGTGAGTCGTAAGGTTTCACGCATGACCGCAGTAATGTAGGGCAGCTTTTGCAGGTCCTCAACGGTGATCTTGCGGCGTCCAACGACTCTGTCCACTTCCTCCTGAGCTTTCTGATAGGCGTGGGGATTCTTGAGCATGTTGTAAAAGGCGAACGAGAGCAACCCCGAGGTAGTTTCATGTCCTATCTGATATCAGAATAAATTCGCTTGTTTTGACTAAAGTATACTCACCGGCAATCAGGAAAGTGATCATATTATCAATAATGGAGTCATATGACATGCCCTTACCGCTTTTCGGGTCACGGCCATTGATCAGAGCATTGAGCAAATCTTTCTTGTCCGTCGGATTCTGTTTGCGGGCATCCACAAGCTCCTTGCACAGGTTGCGGAGATACTCAATATCTTCCCAGTACTTGTTGTTTTCCGTTGTAGGGAGGTTGTTGACCAAGCCTGGGCGACGGGACCGGTCGCCTGCGGTCTTCAGCATCCCAACCATGGCGTCCACAAAGGGATGCATTTCTTCGCTGTAGAACGAATTGAATCGGGTGCCCATGGCACATAGGGCAATAGTATCTAATGTCAGGCGGGTGAAATCATCTGTGACCATGATCTTTTGCTTGGGCCCTTGTCGAGCCCACTTCATCACCAACTGTGTCGCAATGTCGTGCATTTCTGTATTCTTCGTTAGCCACTCTCGCACTCCCAGGCCACACTCGATTCTCAAGGCAGGATATACCGTCAAACATATTTTGAATGGAAAGGGGCCCGAAGGCAGGCATCAAAACGCGATGGGCAATTTCCCAGTTCTCCTCGCCCAGATGGGCCGTGAATAAACCATCGTGGATACCGTGACGAAGCTCACTGAGACCGGACATAATCTTTTTGGCAAATCGCTCCTCGTCGAACACTTCGGCTGCGAGCTCGTGGGAGCTGATCATGCATCGTGAGAATCCGAAGGTTGTTAACCGATAGATCGGGCCTGTCAAGAATTAGTGTTTCATTATAAAGTGGTCCGGACTGTCGTCATGGATCCTACCATAAGTATCTGCCATCATTTCCAAGCTCCTCAGAGGGATTTCGCTCTCAATGTCGAGAATATTTCCCATCAGAGGCACGCCCCGCGGCCCCGGGATGGGGACGGGTTCTGCCTTGGGCGTGCTCATTGTGTGGGAGGTTTAAGGTGAGGGGTGAGTTTTCGGACTGCGCTGAAGATGAGGATTAAAGAGAACTGGTGCGGGGCAATCGTCGGGTATTATATAGAGGAAATAGAATGTTGAGTTGGGTGTATGTCAGGAGAGAGAAAAAACAAAGACGTAGCTTTCCGTGGGTAGACTTCATACTTTATACTCGATCCGCTCTCTCCTCGACATACTAAAATGGTAACCTTGCGTCGTGGTTGTGGCTCGGCATGTTCCACTCTACGCCAATCGTATAAAGGACAATTTCCGTATCGACGTCACCAAAGCTTCTACGAAGGCAGCCAGACCGACTGAGTCGGCCACGGGGGGTCGGGATCGCCGATGTTGCATACCCACCGTCAACGGTGAGTGTCGGATGTACGAGCGGATATCCAGCAAAGTGTGGCGCTGCCCCACTACATGTCCAGCTCTTCGTCTCCACCCTCAACGACCCCCCTATGCAACTTAATCTTCTTGGGACATGTCGCCGAGAGAAGATTGACCCTCCTGGTACTATCTATAGTCTAGAGGGAGCTGGTTAGTATCACCCAGAACGCGGTTACTAATTGCATAATCCGGTCATCCGAGGGAGAACCAGCACCACTCTTCGATCATAAATCTCAGTGAGATGCATAACTGTGCCCTCAAGTCCGTTGACAATTGGCTTTCCTGTCATTGGTCTACAATCACCTGCGATATTAAGATTCCATCGAACCCGAAGGGCTCGGCCGTGGGTCTCCCCAGCGCCCTTGCTACACTATGGATCCTGCTGCCACGCCTCCCAGATCTTCTGCAAGAAGCCACAGCCCTAACTGGCGCATGGCCATTGGAGCCTCCGCGATTTCCGCGGTTCGATTCGACGGAGGTGATCGGTTGTGACCAGATCTGCCAGGGATTTTAAACCCTAATCAGTTAGCACTTGACTTTAAAACGTCCTCCTGCCTGCCTATTCTTCGTCAAGAGGTATCATGCAGCATGGACCAAGAATGTGGAAGACTCGCGTGGCCTATAAGGGCGTCTGCATTTGGAGTATGCTAGATTCCCTGCGCGAAATAATATCATTACGTCTTTGACTCGCTTCACCAGTAATCATAAAGGAAGTGCAACTGCTGGGTGGGTATCAGCTAGGAATCTCGGCACAATGATAGTGTCGTACGTAGTTATAACTCGTTATGGAGAAGTTCTGTTACTTAACAGATTCATATTTTTACTCTGAACCTCGGCTTGACCAATGATCGCTCGTTTTCAGCCCAAGACGTCGATTAGTCATTCTAGTCCCTAGGCGGTTAGTTCGAAAGGCAGGATGCACCGTTCTACATTGTCCATTGGGGAGTGCATCTGGTTTAGATACAGTCTGAAAGCACATTATTATATAAAAATTATCAGTCGAGGAGGCGCATTCGTGAAATCAGCTCACCATGCACAACGTCAACCCGAGCCCCTTGCAGACGGCGAATGAAATGGCTCGCTCTCTAACCGAAGGGGCTAAAACTGGAGCCGAACAGCGTCGCGGAGCCCCCCGAGGCACTTAAATTGATGTCCAGGAGCCGCTAAAATGGCTTCGATTTTCCTTCCAGATGATGTGCCCTGTTGGAAGCGTACATACGACTTCCTTCACAGCTGGATAGTCTGGTCAATAGAATTGGGCTATGTATGGGAGTCACGGATAGCCGCAGATGAAATTTAGCTAATAGGGGTAACAGATATAACGCTGAATGAGCGCTCCACACACTGCCAACAACACATTGGCTATTTCAAGGGAACTACAGACTTGAACAACCGGGTGTGATAACGCGATGTTGTTCATCATCCTGACAGCATGCATTGCGGTGCTGCTCTATCTTTACCATGTCAATCGTGGTATAATGGCTGTTCCTGAGGAAGCTCGTCGGACGTGCTCGCACCGCTGGACTGTCGATGAGATCAAGGCGGCTTTTGAAAAGGTTGTGAACGCTCCCACCGATGTAGCCAAAAGTCTTCCTCCGAAGCAACATAGACGCTATATCGTGGTTGGTGGATCAGGTACGTTTCAGTCCTCACCGCAGAATAAGACATCAAGAGCTCGACCACATCTCAGTCCCACATGATATCGTTTGACAACGACTAACCCGTCGCAGGACTCGTTGGAAACTGGATAGTGTCGCACCTTCTCATGCGCGGCGAAGACCCAGCCGCTATCCGCATCTTGGATATCCAGACTCCCCGATCTGAAGTTCTCGACCAGGGTGTCGCCTTTACCAAGACAAACATCACCGATGAGCAGGCCGTCCTGAACGCCTTCTCACAGCCATGGGACCCATCCGTCGCTGACCTGCCATTGACCGTTTTCCACAACGCCGCAGTGATCCGACCCGGAGATCGCCTCAAGGCGTTCCTGCCTCTGTGCCGCAACGTAAACGTCGGGGGCACAGTGAACGTGCTCAACGCCGCCAAGAAGTCCGGCGCAACCTGCATGATCGCAACATCGTCTGGCTCTGTCTGTCTCCGCCGATTCCCGCTCTGGATCGCCCCCTGGGCAAAGACACCCAAGAACCTCGTCCAAGTGGTCAACGACTCCAGCGAAATACCCAAGGAGCATGACGATTTCTTCGGAAACTACGCCGTCGCGAAAGCAGAAGCAGAGAACATCGTCCGTTCCGCCGACGACCTCAAATCCAACTTCCGAACCGGCTGCATCCGCCCCGTAAACGGCATCTATGGTATCTCTGACTCCGCCGGCAGCGTCATGGGAAATTATCTCCGGAGTGGCGGTGGCCCAACGTAAGTTCCACCCATCACCACTCTTGTCCCCAAAGCAACATCAACTAACAAGAATCCACCCAAATAGCTGGACCTATGACGTCATCCACCACTTTGTCAACGCCGAAAACGTCTCCATCGCCCACCTCCTCTACGAACAACGTCTGGTCGAACACTCGAACAGCCCGTCCACGCTCCCAAATATCGGCGGACAGGCCTTCGCCGTCACAGACCCGAGCCCGCCCATTTCCTTCGATGACATGTACCTTGTCCTCAAGACGTTTGCAAAGACGCCCATCGTATTTCCCCATGTTCCCGTCATTCTGTTCATCCTCATGTCCTATCCAGTTGAATGGTACGCTTTCGTGCAGCACCAGTATCTCCCCTGGCTTCCGAAGATCACGGGTGAGCTCGCTCAACTGCAGCCGGGACTGTTTGCCATCTCGAACGCGCACGTCATTGCCGATGACTCGCGCGCGCGGCTGTCTCCTGAGAAGGGCGGGCTTGGGTATAATCCGCCTATTACCACGTTGGAGGGAATGTGTAAAGAGGTCAAGGCGTGGAATGAGAAGGCGGCTAAGAAGAGTTCTTCTTAGTGTATATACAGGATCGATGTATATGTCAGCTTGTTTACTGTTAGACTAGCAGACCGATTGGTGGCTGGTCTATTCTTGCACTATATGTATTCTACTATATGTATGTACTGAACTTATTGGCAGTGTATATACTATTCAAGATAGATATCATTTACGGAAAGAAGAACTTCAATTTCTCATTCTGCATGTCATAATCATACTCGTAAATAACTCACCAGAACTCCCCGCAAGAAAAAAGAACAGAAAAAGAAAGAAACTACAGCCTGGCAAGATTAACAACCTCCCCAGGAGCATGATACGTCGGGATCCTCATCTCCAGCGCGGCACCAGAATATCCCAGATCCTCGGCAGTGAGCACAGCACACCTCTCGCCAATCAGCAGGGCAGTCTGTCCTCATTAGCAACGCATTAAAAGCACATCGAGAGAGAAAGAGTGGATTTTATTTTTATTTATTTATTTTTTTTTTTTTTTTAAGAAAAAGGCAGACTTACACTGAAAGTATTACACCCAACGTTATCCGGACAAATGGACAAATCACAGACCTTGAGGCCCTTGACTCCGTGGACATTAAGACGCTCGTCGACGACACCGCCATGCTTAACGATCGAGTTTCCCTCTCTCGGCGCCATGCTGCAGGTTCCGAGGGAGTGCCAGGTTGTCTCGACGTGGCGCTGGACTGTTGTCTGGTTAGCAGGGAAGGTAAGGGGCTGGGGAGATATAGATGGACTATGCGTACCCCATTTCTCGATGTGCTCGATGTCCTTTTGGCTGTACTTGATTGGTTCCCGGGTCTCCTGCTTGTTGGAGTTGAGGTAGGTTTCTGTGGGCGTTTGGCCCGGTTCGAGGGGTTGGGACCATGATCCTGTTTTTCATTGTTAGTCTGCGTCATGGGAGTTATGTTAGAGTGTGGTGCGTACCATGCTGGATACCGGCGGAGATGTGGTTCGGACCAGCGTATGCCTTTGTCGTGGCTAGATCGAGGTCGAATGCCCGGGCCGCAGAGTCGAACGCGAAGTGCGGGTGCATGCCGGTTACTTCGCCTGCGTAGGCGCTCATGCGGCGGGCGGTCTCGCGCGATTTGATGTAGCCCCAGACCATGGGAGCCATGTCGCGCTTGTCGTTCATGAACCCGGCGTCGAAGTCGGGGGCGTCGTAGGGGTCGGCGGATTGGATGTGAGTGAAGCCGCGGGAGAATGGGTATTCCTGGGATCATGTCAGGTGGATACTTAAGGATTGGTTGATGCATGGGGAGGGTAAGATGGCGTACCAGGAAGTGGAACATCGTGAAGAACTTGCCTGGGGGCATGAGCATGTGGTCGCCGAACCAGCTGTCACCGGTTAGATACAGAAAAGATGTATTGATAGTTTGCGAGTATAAACACTCACCCGGCAATGACGGAGTAGTGCATCACAGGCTTATCAGGCTTGTTCTTGAAGTAGCTCTCCCAGCCACTGGTGAACTCCGGCGTAGGCCAGCTCTTCATTTCCTCCAGTTCCTCTGGCGTAGGCCGGATTTTCACTCCGGCATCGATGCCGTTCGTGGCCAGTGGACCTGTACCTTTGAGGTTCCACTCCTCGAATACCTTCTTCTGCACTTCAGGGTCACCACGAACGAAGTCATCGAAGGATTCAACGTCTGGCTTAGCCCTGTAGACAGAGAAAGTAAGGTAGTGGTCCTGGAAGTTGCGGCCCACACCTGGAAGGTTGACCAGGGGTTTGACGCCTGCTTTACGGAGCTTCTCGGGTTCGCCGATTCCGGATCTCTGCAGGATGAGAGGTGAGCTGAGTGTGCCGCTGCTGATGATGATTTGCTTGCGGGCTCGGAAAATCTTGCGTGGCGGGTTACGGCCGTCTAAGGGTTTGGTGGGAACGGTCGCGACACCCACCGCTCGGCCATCTTCGATGATAACCTTGTCCACCTTTGTGTTGCACTTGAGGTGGAGATTGGTGTACTTCGCCCTTGTACTGTGGACATAGGCGTGTGCAGCATCGCTACGACGGCCTAGGATTCAGCTCTCGTTAGCGGTGTTAGCACTGGCTGGAAAATAAACTTACCGGTATCACGGTTGATCCATTTCAACCAGTGTTCAGCTCCGTGTCTATTCTTTGTCAGTATTAAATCAGAGTAGCGGTATCTTGTAAGCCATACCCAGTCTTCAAGTCCTGAAGGTCATCCGTGACTGGAATACCTTGCGACTCGGTAGCACGCAGGAAGTCCTGCATGATAGGATACGTATAGTTTCCAAAAGAGACCTTGATAGGCCCATCAAAACCATGCAGGTCTCTGTTATTGCAAGCGCGCTGATATGTCTCATGCTTCTTCATCAGAGGGAGTAGTTCCTTGGTCGTCCATCCCTTTGCCTGGAAATCGTCGTAGTCCGAGGCCGATGCTCTCGTATACATCTGAAACACGTTAGCCCTTCATGGTCAAGGATTGGCAGTGTCAAGTACCATGAAGTTGATCGAGCTCCCCCCTCCGAGGATATTGGCACAAGGTACGACAGCCCGACGTCCGTCAAGCCATTCTGATGGACGAGAGTAGTAGAAGGAAGCTGTCTTTGAGTCCAGCTTCATGTTCCGGGGGTAGATGCCGGGGCGGTAGACCCTATTATGGTCAGTGCCATCTCCGTTGGTGTATATGAGATGACCTCTAGCTTACCATGGGTTGTTCAGGTTGTCTTCGCCTGCCTCGATCAGCAAGACCTGGAGGTTGTGATCGAGGTTGGCCAGACGGCCTGCTGGGACACACCCAGAGCTCCCACCACCACAGATGATGATATCGACCTCGTCTGGGATGGTCATTGTTACAGTGATATCTCGGTACTTGGTTCGCTATCAACGAAGTAGAGAAGTGAGATGTTACAAGGATCGCTATGAGGGAGATATACCTCCTGAGGGGAATCCTGGGAATTTCCAATGAGACTTATATATTCAGCCACGACCCCGCAAGGACAGGTTCAAGTCCATGGGTCGTTATCAGCTTTCAAGGCTTCTGCTCTATGCATTGAATCTTCTGTATGGTCAATTCCCCGCACGGCAAAAGTACGACACGTATAGAGGCCCGAGATTTGGACTATCAGTGGGTGATTGCTGGGTTAAGGGACATCCAAGGATTCCAAGCACAGATCGATCAATAAGAGGGGGAAATTATATTATGAGAGTTATAGAATATCGTCTACTACAATTCCCCGCACACCAAGACTGCTTGTGCTACCGACAATAGTTGGATATTTATCCGGACGGGTTCAATATGTAACTACGACCGCAGCGATGAACGATACCCGTTGTTCGAGAGGCAGAGCCGAGCTTGGATGATGCGAAAGAGGTTCAAGGATAAAACAGGCGGTGATTCATATCGTATTGCTCCAGGACTGCTTTCCTACATCCCACTAATCCCTCTGACACCAGAAATCAATCGTAATAGGAAATCGACATGGAAAACCCAAGTCATGGATTGTCCGCGAGAGCGATGCAATGAACTGTTCCGATCGCAGAAATCAAGAGCTCAAGACACCCGACACAGTAGCTTTGCTGGAAGTAAACAGGAAAGTGGTGTCCGACTGTGCGACGATAGGGCCCCGTGTGGATCCAGACACGAATCAGTTCCATGTAGCATCTCGACCCGAGTATGAATAGCAAAGTTTATCACTAGCGTTGAGCGTGAGTCGGCCGCATGTGGGGAAAGGAACCTTGAAGCTAAAAATGAAGCTAAAGGTCATTTCTCTTTCGAGGATTTCCCCGCACAAGATCCTCAGAATGCTGTAGCGGCGGACGCCAACCACCAGATCCCTTTCAACCGTTGCAAATCCCGAGCGGAGATGATTCACGCTAATGCACCTGTGATTTTTCCATCCATTGCTACCCCGGACTCGTTTCTTGGCTTTCAAAGGGACCCACATGTCTCTGTTCTCGTGGGACTTGATAGATGGACGCTGTTCCAGAATCCTTGCCTGTAAAATTCGAATTGGGCAGCCTCGACAAAGAGAATGGAAGGCGACACCACCAAATATAGCAGCCATTTAGATGCAAGGGTATAAGAATCAGAAATCAACAGGAAGGCTGAACCAAGGATAATCGGCCATCTGGACATAGAAGTTGCTTGGCTGTGATAATATGATGTGACCTCTGCGTCCGGTGTTTCCGGGCCCCGCATCAGGAACTGCAGGGAATCCTCAAAGTAGACTAAGAAACGCAACTACCGAGCGTGCTGTTGCGCAAGCTGACGTCGCTGCTCCAGGATTTGCAGCCGCAGATTCTCCGAGGCCAACTCAACATCGAGAATCGCACCAACGCCTCTTTTCCATGTTTCTTCCAGCCCCACAAGCTCTCCTTTGCTAGACTCTTGAGCGATCTTCCTCTCCTTGTTCACCGTCTCCGCAGCTTCCTTAGTCTCGGCCAATTCCCTCTCAAGTCCTCGTAAGACATCCTCCAGTTGAGAGTTGCCAATCAGCCACGCGTTCTTGCCATTCTCTTCCAGGAGCGTCAGATTATCCCGCCTCATGGACAAATGAGAGCTAGCCGTGTAGGCCTTCTGCAAGGCTTGGCGCCACTCGTCAAGATTAGGGGTCGCGTTTGGTCCCGCCTCGGAGGATCTGGTTGGTGGCTCAGGAGCTTCATAGCGTGAAAGATCAATTCCACCGGTCAAGGGCAATCCAGCAGCCTTCCGTTCGACCTCCTGTTGCACGAGGGGGGAAAACTGGGATTCGGGGAATGCGGGGATGGAAGGATGAATTGTCGACGAGTAGTCAGCAGGAAGCTCTGAGGCGATGAGTTTCTGGGCATTAGCTCGAGCCTGGGCAGACGGTTCTGCATCGATATCTAAAAGAGTTGATTGTTAGAAGGAGAGAGTTCGCTGGTAGGGACGAGACCTACAAGGGAGAGAGTCATGGGACTCATTGATGAGAGGCATATTGGGCTGGTTGAGTAGGGGAACTAAGTGATCTAAATCAATTGCCGGTATAACTCAAACTGAAATGGGAAGCTCTCTGCCGAAGAGTAGTGACTATGTATAGATGAGGTTGAGGTTCCTGCCAACCTTCATCTTTTTCTGCCGGGCGGTGAATCAATAGCTCTCTAACTGATGACTAATCGGAGCCCTAACACCAGCTTGATGTTTTGCCAATTTTTAGAGCTTTAATGATGAGTAAAAAGGGCAATGTGAGGGTGATGATTATGACGGTCTCATTAGTAAATGTGCGGTCAAATTAGGAACCCCAAGACATCTTGTGATGTATCAATTTGGGGTTCGGTGGGATGTTAGATATTGGACAAGAGCGTTGAACTAAGCTCTCGAACACTTCTAGAGAACAAGTTTGGAGGCAGAAAAAGGCCCTGTTTTCCTTTTGATCTACTAGAAAGCAAAGTTAGTTTGACGAAAATACATAGAAAGATATCGCTTTTAGGATCTTGCTATCTATTCTTCCAAAACGTACACATACGTGATGCTAGAATGTGTGCATGCACCATTTAGCTCGCCGCAGACGATTCTTCCACCATCTACCACAAAGTCCACACTTTGTAATGATCTTTGCCTTACCTTCAATGTCAGACTGGCTACGATCTGCTTGATACCCTTCGGGTCGTCAAACAGCAACTTTCTTCGGCACAAACTGCAATGCCGAATCATCATCTGATAACTTTTTCGCTGGCGCACCTTGGAAGGCTATTATGCTAACCATCATTAATTATTCTGAATGACCGATATACATTTGCATGAATTAAAAAGAGCGTGTTTCCTAAATTCCCCCACTAACCAAAGTATTTACACCAGCATGTGTAGAAGTCTGTAAGCCACAGCGAAAAGATCCCAAGCTTTGATGAAAGCTATGTATTAACATTACTGACATGCAACTCTAATCCAGTTGCTCCAGGAAAGGCAACGGATGAAGATGCGATGTCTATATCCCCGAGTCCAAAGGGTTCAGACATATAGTGCTTAGCTTGTTGCCACCGTGAAGGAGCCACTTATTCCTTCGAAACCCCCGATGTCACCTTTGACGGTCTTGAAGTCTCCATAATAATGCAGGCGATAAGTTCCGTCCTTGAGGGACGTGGGGTTTCCAACATTATAATAGTCATCCTCTATCTGCCACTGGATTGTAACCTCACTGTGGCCCAGAACCACATCCGTTCTCTTCCAATTGTAAACAAGGTTCCAATCTCGGTCAGTCCGTACAACCTCCCAGGTGTCAGTTCCGGGCTTCTGTCGCTCAACCGCCGCGAATGTGGATTCTTGACGTAGATTATTCCGAGGGTTAGCTCCAATGAAGGTAGCATTCACAGTGTCACCAGGTCCATACGTGGCATTGTCAACGGACGAAATGACATCACCGAACGTTTTACCGATGGGGCTACCATCGTACACGACGCCTGGAATAAACGATAAAGACTTATCCGTGTTGATAGGAGGTTCCACGTCGGAATTTAGTGGTGGCAAGCTGGAGCTGTCACCGAGATAGGGCAGGTATGTGAGTGTGAGGTTAATATATGCCGCGAGAGTGTTGGGACCGTAAAGAGTCGAAGCACCCTCATAGCGTTGTACATGGTATTCTTCCTCAGTCGCCACGTAATGAGCATAGCTATTCGACGGAGCACCCAAGACCACCAAGGGATTTGCCACCGAAAGCACGTCTTTCGCGGATTTTGCGATGGCTTCTTTCCAACGCCGTCCAGACATAGTCGTGGCCTCGCTGGTTGAGATGATGATAAACAGCTGACCAACCCTCAGAACCTGGATATCAACAATATTTGGTGTCCACGCATACGGCAGCGTTGCTGCTCCCACATCTAAGAGGATCTCTTTCGGCGCTTGGCACGCTTTCTGCTCCTTGGTTGGTTCGTGAACGAAGGCACGAGCAACATACCACAATGGATTTTTCTCTGCCGGTCCACTGCTGTTTTGTGTAAAGTCAAACATGCCCGGCCCATCAGTAGTACCGGCAGCAAATGAGAATCCGAGAGCTGCCGAGCATGTCTTCAGAGTGCTTGAATTAAACGGCGAGATAAAGGTGTAATCGGAGAGATCCTGGTACACGTGGAAGGCGTGGACATCAGAGCTCTTGAGAATCTGAGTGGGATTAGAGTCCAGCTGGGCATAGAGCTTTCTGGCAGCCTCATATTGAAGCTTCCCGATTTCGAAACAGCTCTTGGCACCGTTGTCCTTTTCGCGGAAGTAGGGCCCACGGCCACGACAATCTTCCATTGTACCACCACATGTACTGTCTTCATATCGGCACTTCTGCCCAGAGCCATCTTCACACCATGCTCCCAAGACGTTCGGACTCGTGTCTCCGACATTCGATTGGGAAAAGCCAGCAACGAAATCGTCAGCGAACTTTTTGTCAGCCTGGACACTTCTTTCAAAAAGCCATGCCGCAACTCCTTTGTTGTCACCAGTTACTAATGTATTGTTGTTATACATGGAAGTGCCATGCACTGGGAAGAACGTCAGAACGGCCGTCGTTTTATTATCCGTTGCTCGATCGAACCTCAGAAGCGTCATGGTCTTGTCCACACTGTCTGAGTATCGCGCTTTCTCTTCTTCCGGATTGTGATCGTAGCTATACGGGCTTCGGTTGATGTTCGCATTTTCAATGTCTATGGAGCCAAAGCTCAGGCGTCCCGGCGCTATACTTTGATGGGCTCGTTTGATAGAAAGCAAAACACCATCGACAATTGCCTGGTAACTCTGCTTGTCGAATCCCTTATTGGGAATCTGAGGGAGGAGATAATTCATCCACGCACCCGGCCCTGAGTGGGAGTGGGTTCCTGTAAAGGCTACATTGTGCTCACCATAGTCTGCAAATTCACCGCCAAGGCTAGCAAGGCCTTCGAGGACTCCATGTCGCACAGCAGTGTCACCTGTCAGCGAGTCTATAATTAGATAGATGAAGGTATCCTTCGGGCGGTTAGGATTTGCGACTATGAAAGCACGAGAGTAGATTCTCTGTCGTAGACCAGTTCCAATCTGTTCCAAGCTGGCGTAGCCGCCAAATCCGATCTCGACAACAGGCCTAGTTTAAAGATGTTAATGGACCTTTGAGGCATTACCATTGAAAAGAGGAAGAACCAAGCGACGAAGGGGGTGGGCAGGAAAAAAGAGAATAAGATTACCCAGTAATGTCCGCTCTACCAGCTCCTAGTAAGAAAACGCTGTCATCGGACGCGAATTCAGTATTTCTGTCGGCCCATTTATACCTGCTATCGACAACGGGTGGTTGGTTGGAATCTGATACGACAGAAAACAGCAACAACAGGAGCAGCGCTGCTATAAAGGTTCCAGAGGCTACGACACCCAACCTCGCATTCGCCATACTGAAGATGTTATGGTTGAAATAACAGACAAAGGGTTACGACATTAGGAAGCGTTCGCAGCCGAAGGGGATATCGGACCTTTTTATCCGAATATCCCTGTGAATCGCTTCAAGCCGAGGCGAGTCGATCACTCTGCATGCGCATGACCGAGTATAGGAATAAGTCAAGCGATCACAAATCAATATCCAGTTGTCGCATCCCGGAAGGAAGGGGAGGAAACCGTGCGATTGGTGTAGAGTTGAAGGAAGGGTGACATCGTCTGGCCGTAGTTTGGGGGTTTGGATGATGACTTGCCCGCCCTAACCTGAATTGGGAACGTCCTCTTCATCCCCCGCTCGCCTGAACCCTAAGTAGGGAGTCGTACTTGACAGGCACCAGATGGAATGCAACAGCGCATCACAAAAGCAATGATGAGCATTGTGATAGACCATTCCATAGGGCGGGGATATAGCCATCTCTAACCCTTCCGAGACTAGTTCTCGTTTAGCGACTCCATATTAGTGAAAGGGTCCATCCGTCACTGCCGATCCTCCAAAGGTCAATTGAGCAGTGGGCCAAGACGGGCGCCTCCGAGCTTGTTGTGGACTTGTAGTTCCTGGGGAAAGTCGTCGTGATCGTCTGTGAATATGGGAAAGAACCATCTGAGAAAGGATTCAAGGAGTTGGATAGTACTTGTAGTGAGGTTGAACTGATGCTATACAGAACATATTTTTACATAGCCTGATTCATCCGGTGTGAGAGTGGCATACCCTATAATCACATAGAAGAGCAAATGCCCCCCCCCCCCTTTTTTT